TCCCAATAAAATCCCCAAAAATTCCCCAAAAATTCCCAATAAATTCACCAAAAATGCCCCAAAAAATCCCCAAAATTCCCAATAAATCCCCAAAAATTCCCCCAAAAATTCCCCCAAATCCCCGAAAATCCCCAAAAATCCCCAAAAATTCCCCAAAAATTCCCCAAAAATTCCCCAAAAATTCCCCAAAAATTCCCAATAAATTCCCCCAAAATTCCCCCAAAAATTCCTAAAATTCCACCCCAAAATTTCCCCCAAAATTGGATTTTTTTCCCCCAGAACGTGGCCCGGCAGAACAACGACAGCGACTGCGGAGCCTTCGTGCTGCAGGTCAGGAAATCCTGACATTAATTTGATTTAATTCCATTTAATTTAATTTAATTTAATTTTTAATTCGAATTTTAATTGCATTTTTAATTATAATTCTAATTTTCGTTCTATTTTTAATTCTGATTTTAACTCGACTTGTAATTTAAATTTTAATTTAGATTTTAATTTTAATTTTAATTTAAAGTTTAATTTTCATTTTCATTTTAGCTTTAATTTAAATTTTAATTTTAATTTTAATTTTAATTTTAATTTTAATTTTATTTTCAATTTAAATTTAAATTCAAATTTTCATTTTCATTTTCATTTTAATTTCAATTCCATTTCAAATTTCAATTCCGTTTTTAATTTTAATTTTATTTTTAATTTTCGTCTCAATTTTAATTTTAATTTCAGTCCTAATTTTAATTCTTCATTTTCATTTATATTCTCATTTAAATTTTGAATATTTTTCGAATTATTATTTAAATTTAAGTTTTAACTTGAATTTTAATATTTAATTTTAATTTCCATTGTAATTTTAATTGTAATTCTAATATTGGGTTTTAATTTTAATGCTAATTCTAATTCTAATTTTAATTTTTACTTTAATTGTATTTTAAATTTAAATTTTAATTTTCATTTTAATTCTGATTTCAATTTGAATTGCAATTTTAATTTCAATTCTAATTCTAATTTCAACTTTACTTTTAATTTTTATTCGAATTTCAATTTCAATTTTAATTTCAATTCTAATTCTGATTTCAATTTTAATTTTAATTTTAATTTTATTTCAATTTCAATTTTAATTTCGTTTCTAATTCTGATTTCAATTCTAATTTTAATTCTGATTTTGATTATAATTTTAATTTTAATTTTAATTTCAATTTTAATTTTAATTTCAATTTCAATTTTAATTTCAATTCTAATTTTAATTCTGATTTCAATCTAAATTTCAATTCTAATTTAAATTCTGATTTTAATTTTAATTTTAATTTTAATTTTAATTTTTAATTTTAATTTTAA